CGCGCGACGCCATTGCAAATTATTTGCCCCATAAAGGGACTCGAGCGTGACCATTTTCGTAAATTGGGTCCTTTCGTTTCCCGGTCTTGCAGTGATCTGAGAATTTCTAACCGAGTCATTAATTGTGTTCTTGCAGTACTTAGAACTGAGATTTTTGAACAGGTTTTCACTATTTTCCACCATTGGTGTGCCACAATTTTCATATTTTGAAAACGTTTATTATCTAAATATTTAATTTGAGGGGTATTGATATTTTTTGGTTTAAATTATCGAATTAGGAAATAACAGGGATGTGCTGGGAGAATTTTGGTACGAGAGATTTAATTTTGACATGTATATTTTAATACTTTAATAATTTTTCATGGCGTATAAAATGAATAATATTAATGGCATACTGTAGTTTGGTAACTATGTGTATCATGAGACGAGAGAGTTTAAAAATCGTTAATTTAGAGAATGATTGAAATTCATAGAGTTTTGTTTCGATAAGCCAAGAGTCAATATACGCTCGGTAAGTTAATCGAAATTGCTGTTGGATTATTTCGCAGTGGAATAATAAACGGAAATTCTCGTTTATTTGCTCGTGTTGCTTGTCGAACGTGTAATACGAGTAATTTTGGAGGAAGAGAAGTGACAGGTAAATTTCTCTGCATATGTTTCAAGTTTTAAGGTAGAATTAAAGAAAGAAAATTAAAAATCAAATAAAATCAATAAAGATGTTATCGTCAAAACTTTTCTACATCTATTTACCATAAACTACTATAAAATACAGATATTTAAAGTACTAGCTACAAGCTATTTACAAGTACGTGCAAATATTTATTACTGTTTGTATCCCATATGATCTGCACTTATAGTAACAAAAATCCCTCAAAACTGAATAGAAGACTATTCTCATGCTGTACCTACATCCTCAGCGATATTCGTGGCATCGCAACCAAATTAAATCAACGATATCCAATACGTTCCACCCTTACGTCTCTCCTCCCTTATTTCCCAACTCGCCAATACCCACCCCAGCAACTCATCCCTGGACCCATCTCCAAGTACTCAATACATTCTTCCACCCACTCCGCGTAAAGATAAAGCTCTCCAACTACCACCACCGCCAGCACCACCACCAACCGGCCTCCCCCTTCGTAATTTCGGTGGAAGCCGAAAACGAGCAAGATCCTCGCGGCAGACCAACGTCTTCGGTATTTAATAAACATTCCATCGAAGCCCGCAGTTTTGCTGCGGGCTCCGATGCCACCGGACAAAAGAGGGTTGCGGCTGGCAGCTTGCTCGGGGGTTGAAATTTTTTCGTGGAAAATAATTCGTGGACAGCGACGGACAGGAGAGTGCAGAGAAGCGGAGAAGGTTCAATCTCCATGAAACTCCGTCATGGAAAATCTAATACGATGCACGGGACCAGGCGAGCGGTTCGGTATCCGGTTAGGTTACGAAAGTAATTAAATCGTTAACAGGGGACGAGTTTGCGGCGCAATCGACGAATATGTGCGGGGTTTCCACGCTGTGCCTCTCCTCCCATTGCCACGTCCCCTGCTCGATCCACCTGTTCTAACCCTCTCGCTCTTCAGCTCCACTCTCGACTCTTTCTCGCTGACCGTTTCCCTTGATTTTCAATTTTATTATTTCTTTTGCCGGTCGCAGCCTTTGACTACGGGGTCCGGGTGACGATCTCGATGAAACACGGCTCGTTACGCGAGTAAGGAACGAGGAACTGTTAACGAGTCGAATTCGCTTTGGGGAGCTGTGATCGATTTAGGTGCCGGTGGTCTAGCAGGCGAGAGGGAAACAGGGATCGATCGCGCGTGGCAATTGTTGCGAATCGTTGAAATCTTGCCAATCGTCTGTGCCACGGGATTGCGATTAACCGTTTAAAGAATTAGTCGGATGGTTTCTTGCTTGAATTCTACTGTAAAAGGATTCGTAAAAGGATCTCGCGCGGATGGATATTTTTTTGCGCCGCTTGCTGCATTTGCCCGCGTATCGCGAAGGAAATTGCAGATTATTCGCGTTGCTTCGAGCGAGTGAAATTTAATTTGAAATTCTTTCGTCCCGAGCTAACCCTTTGGCTTATGGTTTCTTTGATAGGTGATTAACAGTTTCCTGGAATTCTCTTTATTTGCGGATGGCAAATGGTTGGGATGAAAAGAGTTTCGAGTTCCAGATTGTCAATTAAAGTATCGTAGTATATTACCCTATGGGGTCGAATGGCGTAGTATATCTGGAAATCTTTTTATTTTTTAGAGTTAAAGTTACTTGGATTGTAGCGAAAAATGACATTTTTCTAGTTTCTGTTAATATTCTTTAATTTGGAAACTTTCCTTCAGTTTGTTAATTTTAATCGCTTATTATATACTCCAGGTATCTTGTCCGCAAAGGGTTAAATGTAATATACGTGAATAATAATAATATTTAGGTATGTACAATTAAATAGTCATTTTAACCCTTTGCACTCGACGACTTTTTCGTTACAGAAAAGTAGTAATTCGAAGACTTTCTGTCATAGAGTCGACGATATTTTTAAAATAGTAAATGAGAAATTATATGCAAATTAAGACATAGAATTATTTTTCTTCGACATTCCACACATCGTTAGGTTATTTTAAATTTGATATATTAATTAACGTTGACATTTTGAATCTGAAGAAATGGTGACTGATGGTCACCTCTCGAGTGCAAAGGGTTAATAATGGGTAACATTAGTTTCATTAAAAATAATTCCATAGTTGCAGTGAATTTGGCTTATAGCGACCACCATGGTAGATAACACGGAGTAGATGTCATATTGATCGGTGTTTAACACTAGAACTATCAACCCAGTGAAAATGACTGGTCCCAGAATTTTCCTTTTTGCAATCACCGAACACATACACCTGCTTTAAGATTAAAATTGGTATCGACTCGTATTAAGAAAGAACTGTAATCAATATATTCACTCATATTCATCGTATGCCTGAAATTACTATAATCTGTTTATAGTTAGGTACCCATTAAAGATCGGTAGTTCTAGTGTTGATAATCCTCAGTCTGAGGGATTAAATCTGAAGCTAGAGTTCAGACTATACTTCGTTGCAGATGTAACTTGTCTCTATTACGATATTATAAAAGGCTAAGAGTTAATCTCCTGTATCATACTCACGACAGAGATATTTCTATCAAGGTGATAAACATTGCACTCGAGTATTCGTGCATGGCATATTCGTGTAATATTTCTTGTTTAACCCCCGTCAAAGATCAGCTAATTAAAATTGCTGATAACGTGAAGCTATCGGAGAGAATCGATAATTGTAATTACAAATTCAGTGCTTCTTGACATACAATGGACGTATGAGAATCTATTCTTCGTTTATGCATGAATAACGAAGAAACACGCAACCATTCTTTCTATTCAAATTGAATCAATTGAATGCAACTGGACAGCTGACAGGAAGGTCTTTGACCGCCATTTCTGTTGCAGTATCAATTAAATAGTGGACCTACAAAAATTTCAACTCGACATTAATCCTCGCATAGCGGTCACCACCAATTACAAACTTCCCATTAAGAAAATCAGTGAAAAAGGATATCCATGAAACACTGTCAAAGCAGACCCTCCAAATGACAATAGAGTCCTTCGAGTTCTTCCTGGACACGAAAATCCTCACTCTCCCTCTAACAGACGTGACCTTAAACCGATTAGAACCACACGCTAGAAATTATTCCAAGTGATCCGAATTACGCGACTTTTCCTGTACGAACGAGGGAAAAAGCTCGCTGAGAGCATGATTTGGTTGATAGAAAATTCTCGCGGATGCCTATATACACGGAGTGGATCGGGTGAGGGATAAAGAATAGCGAATCAAGGGGTTGACAAAGGTGGGTGGCTGAAGGTGACGGATAGAGATATTCAGAGATGCAGCCGGCTACTTTGCTGCACGAAACCCTATGCGACGCTGAATTTACATAAGCGGCTTTTCCCCCGACGGAGCTTTTCTCTTGGTCCTAAACAAATATTGACTAGGACCACTTCCGGCTCTCCTCGCCACCTGTCATTCTCAAATGGCATGTGGTTGACTGACCGCGTGATACGTGCACGCTTATATCGATGACGGTATAGCCAGTGAATGGCTATGGTACTTGCCAATTCGTCTTTGCATTCGGCTGCAATGTGCATGCGACTGATTAACTAATCGAGGTATACCTAAATTGAATCAATGATACTTAGAAAAGAAAATAATTATATTGGCATTAGCGCAAATAGTTCCTGAGAGGTTTTTTAAAGGGTTGCTTTGTTAGACCAGGTTTCCTTTTCACGATTATGGCCTTTCTTCCTATGTACCTGGTTCATTTTAGTGTTCCCTTTTTTGAACCATTGGGATAGGATAATACACTAGTCAAAAGATAAGAGGAAAATATAATTGGATATTATTCCTTCCATTTTTGAGTATTTAGAGTACCATAACCCCTTGCATTATAACAACGAGTCTAACCTAGCTCCAGGGTTGTTCCTAATCATACCACGCAAAAGTGTATTACTTTCCTCGCATTAGACTAATTATACTTAATTATATTTAGTTTTTACGCGAACAAAATTCAGACGAATTCTATAAACTTTTATAGTTTTATCCTGGGTGAAATAAATATTAGGTATCGTGATTACCTAAAATTAAACGCTTCCCTACTATTTTTTGTAATGAAATCGTAATTCAAGGGATTGCTTATTATCCTGAAGAATGTTTTAGATAGGAGCACAGGGTGCAACAGGACTTTTGCTGCACCCTGTGTGAGAAAATAAATAATGGGTAGTACTAAATACAGAAAAAGCTAGCGTTGCATCGATTTGATAGGGAGCAGGAATAAAACAAAAACTAGAATAATTATTAAAACTAGAATAAGTATTATTGAGTTTGGCTAAAAAGGTTTTGCCAAGGGTAGTAATCATTTAAGTTTTAAGAAATGAGCCAACTGTTGAAGATTGATTATACTAATTATGTCGTAATTTTCATTTTCAGAGCGTAAACTGTTCGTTGGCATGCTGTCGAAGAAGTTTACCGAGAATGACGTTAGGAACATGTTCAGTGTCTATGGAACCATCGAGGAATGCTCGGTGCTGAGGGACAGCACCGGAAAAAGTAAAGCCTGTGCCTTCGTTACCTTCGCTAGTAAACAATACGCCATCAACGCCATTAAAGCTCTTCATCACTCGCAAACGATGGAGGTGAGCGAAATCGAAACACAATTGTTTCCTCTATCTCTGCTACTTAACTCTTGCCACACAATGTGGTCTACGTCGTAACTGTGCTTAAAGCGGTCTTAACAATGCCACGTTTTCGTTAAAAATTCCATTTTTCCACTGAAAGAAGGAGCAGTTTATGATAAAACATTCCTTAAAATTTGTCTCCGCTTTTCCACTTGTTTGTTCCTTCTGTTAGGCCCTAACTGAGAGTTAGTATAGTTTCCAAACAAAATCGGTATCTTCTTTGTGTTAAAAATATGGAGCAAAGACGAAATTAATTTGCAGTATAATTAATCATTCGTTATTTTAAAGATAAATGTTTCTTCGAAATTTATTTTAAAGAGAAATTAAAAATAAATAATGCATTATATCGTTATAAATGGTTACATGTGGAAGGATGAATATTGTGAAAATTTAATTTCATGTAGTATTAATATGTCGTGCAGATGTTACGAGGCAGAGAAACTAAGTTAATTACAGTTTTTAATTAATCTGGTTATCCTTGGCTAATTTCTATCGAAGATTAATTTTCTTGAAACTGGTATGCTTGATAATGTAGAGTTTGAAAGAAACTTTGTATCCTTGCTAAACTTCCATCCATCATCAAGTGTAGGACAAGTTACACGCCCTGCATAGTAAAGACATACTAAAGAGTCAGTAGAGAAGAAAACATGGTACTTGTAAAAAGATAATAAGCAAAAGTTGGTCATTAGTTAATTATCGGTTAATATTTAAGAGGTCGTTCTCTGCTCAAGCTTAATTAATATGAAAAATAATGGAACTTTCGATCAGGTTGACTAATATATTTATTTTTCATCAAAATAAGTTTAATAACAATTCAGACATTTTCTAATTTTACTGTAATAGTACATTGAAATAAAATAAAAACTGCAGAATTTTTCTATAATTTTATAAGTGAAGAGTAAAATTTAAATGGTATTAATATACTGATTTAATAATTTAAATAGCAATTAATTAGATATAGACATATAAATTTAGATATTTATTAACTTAAACGATTATAAGGCACATATCAGTTCATGCATTAGCTATTGCAAAAATCTACACTAAAAGCCTCAATATCTGTGAAAGTTTTATAAATTTTACAGGATAGAATTCTTGTTTAACGAATCTTAAGAAATATACTTATTATCTTAGAATGATCAAGATCTGATTGCGAGAGAGTTTCACTTCGAAACTATGACCAATAAATTATAACTTTCTCGATTGTAATTTTCAATTAGATTTTTTAGTACATAGATACTGCTAATGGTACTTGGAAAATCGGATACATACTATATATTTTAACCAACAGTAAAAATGAAAGAATACCAGAAGGGTTTTTAAACTATATCAATCAACTTTCTACCTTGAACAATTCCTAATTTAAACTCACAATATCATAATAAAACCAAATTGAAACATACTATACAGTGTACAATAAATTTAAAGATATATTGAAATATACAATATGAAATAAGTATACAATACACTAAAATATACAGTATACAATAAATATACAATATACTGAAACATACAGTATGGAATAAATTTATAATGTATTAAAATGTAAAGCATACAATAAATATACATTATACTGAAATATACAGTATACAATAAATATACAATATACTGAAACATACAGTATGGAATAAATTTATAATGTATTAAAATGTAAAGCATACAATAAATATACATTATACTGAAATATACAGTATACAATAAATATACAATATACTGAAACATAAAGTATGGAATAAATTTATAATGTACTAAAATATGTCGTATTGAATAAATTTACAATATAATTTGCAATATTTACAATATGCTAAAATATAGAGCATATAATAAATATACATTATACTGGAATATGCAGTATACAATAAATATACAATATACTGAAACATATAGTATGGAATAAATTTATAATGTACTAAAACATGTCGTATTGAATGAATTTACAATATAATTTGCAATATTTACAATATGCTAAAATATAGAGCATATAATAAATATACATTATACTGGAATATACAGTATACAATAAATATACAATATACCGAAATTCACCTTATGGAATAAATTTGCAATATACTGAAATATAGAATATGCAATAAATTTACGATATACTAAAATATAGAATATGGAATAAATTTACGATATACTAAAATATAGAATATGGAATAAATGTACGATATACTAAAATATATAGTATACAATAACAGAACTCTTCAATTCAGCAATTAATACTTAATCCGTCTTGCTCTATCCGTTTCGTACGAGCCCGATAAAAGTTTCAGCGGATGTATCGAGCAATTCGATGCAACCATAATGGCGGTGCACCCTTCGGAGCGAATTCCACACACTCTACGGAATTGTTTCTCCCCGTTCCTCCTTCACGATAACATGGCCTACGCGATCCACTGTTTCTCGACCGGTGAAAGAAAATCGTGCCAAGGCACGCGGCTACGACAGCAATTCCATTTTGATATCATGAATATTTCCAGCCGCGGGTTTCCTCGAGCTTGCTCGTCGTGGTCGACTTAACTGGCACGATTTCGTGCTTCCTATTACCCACGTAAACAGCCCCAGCATTTCGTATTCCCCTTTATGGCTCGCGATTCAAAGGAACTATATATCTCGCGATCGTTATTAATTATTTTGGCTTCGTGCAGCGATCCTGCGCGATTCGTTTCGGTAATTCCATTCGACAGATGTTCCCCTTTGATTGTTGTTAGACAAAGCTTATTAACCCTTTCGCAACTTTTGCACGAAGCAGCTCGCGACGCCATGTTCTTGCCAAGCTTCAGACTAGGTATCTCGCGTATCCTTTTATCGAGATGTAGGAATATTGCAATGCTGACTGAAATTGAAAAGAAAAATATGAAAAATGGCCGGTTGGAAATTAGTGTATATTCTTTATCTTTCCTGTGAGAATTATTATTATTATTCTTATTATTCGTTCATGGTATTCATTCATGATGTTCGTTTGGAGAATCGAATTTTAATTAGCCATTATGTATCTACGCAATTCATAATAAAATAATAAATGTTGTTTGAATTTTTACGAATTTCACTCAGGTTGAAACTTTTAAGTATAATTTCACTTATGCGACGAGTGTAGCTCATTTTTGTATAGTTTGCAGTGGGTTGTCATTGAACCAGGGAAATTACACGAAATAAAACGTTTGTCAGGAATTTTTAATTAATTAAAATGTCAGGAATTAAGGAGATGGTGGTGGAAAATGTTTGAATTTGTAACTTCGTGAATCCTGTGAAATATGGAGTCTATTAACGTAAAATTCAACTGGTACTTTTCATTATATTTTCATGGTTTTACGTCAACTTGATTCTTCTTTTACCCTTTGTACTGAAAGATTTTTTCGATGCAATGGAATAATGATTCGAAGCTTTTCTTATATTTTGATAAATTCGCTGACACTTGTTACTCGCTGAAATAAGAGAAGGGAAGTTGTGTTTGCGTGAGAAATGAACGAATGGAATTATTATTTCAATATTTCGTGTGCAGTTATTTTTAATATAATTATTTTCTCTTATTTAAGTTATAGCATTAAAGCAAATGGGTTAATACCTAATTGTCTGTAATGTCTATCCCTGGCAGTATCGATGATGAAATAGTAATAGTATCTTTACTAGACTGAAAATTATAATTAACTAATTTTCTGCATCAATTCTGATCTTTAACACTAGAACTACCTATCTTTAATGGGAACCTAACTATAACGTGCACAGATTATAGTAATTTCAGCGAATATATTGATTACAGTTCTTTCTTAATATTAGTTGATACCAATTTTATTCCTAAAGCAGGTGTATGTGTTCGATGATTGCAAAAAGGAAAATTCTGGGACCAGTCATTTTCACTAGGTTGGTAGTTCTAGTGTTAATAATCACTTTAATTAACTTGTCTGTTGCCATCGATCAATATATATGATAACATCGACGCAATACTGTCTTCTTGACTATGAACTTTGCCTAAACTCTTCACTGGTCTCACCTAACTCTGGCTCTGGCTCTATATACTCTCGACTCTCTCAGCTAACCTTCCTCGACTCTATTCTCTGGCTCCTTTTCTCGGCTCTCTTTTCTGACTCCTCTCGACTATATTCCCCGACTAACCCCGTGCACGTGTTCCCCCCTGTCTCTATATTCATCCATACGCACATTCTCTAGAAGGCATTCGGGCAAGTCTATTTCTCATTCATCTGACAAACTCGAGCACTCAGGCTAAACGTTCTTCTTTCACACTTCTGATACACCAGTCTAAGCATTCTTCATTCGCAGCTCTATAACAATGAACCAAACACTCTTCGCTTACTCTATAGAAACTCTTCGCATTCTTGTGTTCCTTTTAGGAATTGGACGTAGAAATCAGTTTGCCAGGCACCTCGTAGATTCGAAGGGATTAATTATGCTAGAAGTAGGGCACGTGGCATTGTGATGGGACTAAGTGGTTTTTGCTGTTTCTTGCGATTGTGAATTCTACATTAACTATAGTACTGCATCATTAATTGTGCGAACTTTGATACATTCGTCTTGGGTTCTCTTTTCATTCAGCTTGATACATATATTACCTCAATTATTTCCAATTATTTAGTTATTAGAGTACCGATGAAACGTTCTTTTGCCGTAAATATTAGGACATTGAAGAACCTTCGATATAACCATGCTTGATTTTTATCAATTTAATTTAATAGTACTGTACTAACCAAGGACGGAAGAAATCATATTCTAAACACGTTAGGTGGTCCTGTTTGTACGTATATTGAGAAGAAATTTTGGAATATTTTCATATTATAGATTTGTCATTGATTTTTATATAAATGTATAAAATTTTATTTGAGGAATCAGGTCTCTTTTATTAATCTTCGTCATTGAGGTCTATCATTCTCTGTGCTCTCAATTCAGTATAACTCGTTATATAGTAGTCATAGATTCGCTGGTTTCAAATTTTCCTCTCTATTTCTCCTTCTCTCTCTCTCTCTCTCTTTCTCTTTCTCCCTCTACGTACATGTGTGGCTTGTGATTTCGATAGTGGACCCAAAATTAGGGACAATTAGTCTCATTAGTTTGCCAGCTGAAAACGACTGGCATCTATTCATACTCGTTCAAACTGATATTGGAATTAGGTGAGTTTCAGATAGAGATCATAATAACGATAATACTATTATAGACATAGTCACAATTCTAACGGAATTAATAGTACGTGAAACGATTGTTATTTTTGTAATTTCATCTTCAACAAATTTTAACATTTTACACCTTACTTGAATAAATTGAAGAAGAGAAATTTAAAGTTGAATTTAATATGTATTCTTTTTAAATTTTTGTTATACGAAATCTCAGGAAAGGTGATTTATAAACAAATTCGGTTTATAAGAATAAAACAAATTTATCCCAGCTATGAACCCTGAAAAAGTTAATTTAACACTGTAAAATATACTTTCTGTTATTAGCAAACCATTGAAAATCGATAGTAAAGAGATATTTAATCATGTGTAAGATCATTCGCTGTTAATATCAGAACTATACCATCTTCGTGCTAAAGAGTTACATATTTTACATACCTTATTTATATATATATCTTTTTCTCAGGGATGCTCGTCGCCGCTGGTCGTGAAATTCGCAGACACGCAGAAGGAAAAGGACCAGAAGAGGATGCATCAGTTTCAGACGAATCTTTGGAATATAGCAGCAGTCAACATGGCGCCGCATTACCTGACCGTCTGTACCTTTAATATTTCATAACCGACCTTCTTACTCGATATCAAAGAGTTCATTTGCATCGAGAATGAAATACTTTCTCGTAAATTTATTTTCCTAAAATCTTCAAAATTACACGCGTATCCTGCAACGAATCAAAGCATCTCGAGCATGCGTGTATGCGTTAAAGGACCAGGCACCGTATGCTAAGAGATGAAACCTTGTAAACGTGAACCATTTGCGAAATTTCATTCTCCATGTGAATTTTAATCCCCTGATATGGATCGTAACATCACCTTCTTTATTTGTAACTTCGAAATGCGATCTTTACTATTATTTGGTCTCAGAGATATATAGAGAAATTTGGTTTATATGAAATGAAAGAATTGATATCAGGGGATGTCGAGTCTAACATTGTTTTTGCTACTTCTAGCTTCGAAACGCGATATTTACCCCTTTCATTGTGAGAATTATACGAAAAACATTCAGTGTACAAAGTATAAAAATGGCAAAATGACATATACAACCGTATACTGACACCTAACTATACTGACAATCATGCAAGACGTTAGAGATATTTTTTAACCTCTTCAGGACTGAGTTACTTTACAGAAATCGGTCAAAATTTCTCGAATTTTTTTATTATCTATTTAGCAAGCAATTGCTTGAAGGTGATAAAAGTTAGAAAATAGTTTACATTTTGCAAAACACAGGTATTCACAGTTTTACATAAACTCAGTGAATAAGGTAAGACCGTGTTGACATGCAGCAAGAAAAAGAATAAAGAGGTAGAGAAAAATTCTACATAGAATAAGATTTCCTTCAAGAAATACTTGGTACCTGGATATTTCCTCGCAAACGTAGGGTGGTCTTGAAACACGGTAAAAATAATGGAAATGCGTGTGAATCAATGTATTAACTGGCTGATGTCAAACAATTGGTTATATACATAAAATCATGCTGATATTGTTGCCTTTCTGACGAACAGATGAGAATTAAATGTATGGTAATTACTATTCAGATGTATTTAAAGTAGTGCTTAAGAATTATTTTTGCAGACTGTTTATTTAAAAGTGGAACAGTTATTTACCCTTAAATATTGTTTTTATTATTACGAATTAAAGTAAATCTTCACAAACATATTCGTACCATAGGAATTTATCATGTGTACAAATCAAACTAATCTATCTTGTCATTTACTTTCATTTCATAGGATTAGAGCATTACATAACACACGTCGTTGACAAATATTTTGACATAACATAATACATATTGTCATTGAGAAATATTTTGACATAACATAATAACACATTATCATTGATAAATATTTTAAAGCGAGTGTCATACAATCATAATCGTTTAAAGTCACGAATTCTACAACTATCCATACCTCATTGACTCACAGTACCATAATCGTTCACCGATGATCAATTACGTGTATTTAACACCTGCTACGTGGGCCATTTTTGGTACAGAAATTTTCGCTGAGCTTTCCATTCAGGCTGCTGACGTTTTCGACGTATATAGAACGAGTAACAGCATGTGCCATCGACATGATACACGCGACCTGAATGGAAAGTCGCGCGGAAGCGGCGCAACGTGGAACGCGTTAATCCGGATCCAGATCGCCGCAGAACTCCGTGAATCTCGCCTAAGAACAGTAAAAGACTCCATCATTTTCACACAGTGTACAAAATCGAGACGTTCTATAATAATCGTCCATAGTTTCCAATATTGACGTCTCCTCACGCAGTGCCCAATTTACTGTCTGCGGTCAAGACTCTTATATGAAGAAGTAACATCCTGGAATTTGGGGAGAAAGAATTAATTTCTCTATTCGAAACAATCGAAGAAGATCGGTACCAAGTTTGAAACTCACTTCAAGGTCTCATCCTCGACATTAAAGTGAGCCCTGGGCCCTGCTGTATCTGGATGCGGCCTCATTAACGTTAGGGCGAGCTACACTGAGTCTACAGAGTGTCCCAGCAACGGTAGTACAGCCGGGAAATGGGTGATTCTACATACTGAAACGAATCGAAGAAGAAGAATAAAATTTGTTCATTCGAAGCTTCGTATTCAAGAAAATCGACTTTGGATATTCTCATTCACTTAACTTTGGCTAGGCTGCATAGACCATAAGTATCTCAGCGTATTCATAGATATTCAAAATCAATTTTCTTGACACGTAGAATCACCCTCTTTCCAGTTGTACTATGATTACTGGGACACCCTGTATAAGCAACAGTTATTTATTTTAACCTACTATATCGTGTAAGACTCCTGGTGAGGAGATTGGTCCAAACACGAGTATCACGAGCGAGAGACGTGGTTTGTAGATAGGATCCAACGTAAACATCACAGTATTATTTCTCGTCGCGTTCGCACGAAATGGCTCGAAGCGTGACCAACGTAGTTGTTGATTATGGCACGCGCCATCTTAAATGGCAGAAGATTGATCTTTAAGAGATTAAAGAGGACAGTTATTCATTGAAAAACACATTTGTTCGCAGAACGATACGCCTGCCTTGGCCCCGGCGTCGCTACAGCTGCTGCAACAACTTCAGGCGACAACTAGCGCCGCGACGCCGGTCGCGGCTGGTGCGGGCGCAAGTGCATTGTCGAGTGTGCAACATCAGCTGTTGCTGCAACAACACCTTGGCCTCGGCGCAGCCACTCCTGCGCATGCGGCTGCGCCCGCGGTACCGAGCCCACCGGAAATCAACCCGGCGAACCTGCAGGGCCTGGCCACGCTCGCGTCCTTGAGTAACACAGCCGGTGAGTATGGTTGGTGTCTCATTTTTTTTTATCTTTTATCTTCGTTTGTCGTTCTTCTTCCTTTCGCTTTTCTTTCTTCTACCTTTTGTTTTCGTGTTTTACGTTTGAGAATTTATGTTATCTCTTTGAGGTTAGGCGGGTTAAAAATAGTCCCATCTTTTGCTTAGCTTCTTATACATGGTGGGATGTACTTTAACACACTTCGAAATGTTGATGATGTGCGTTCTGCAGCACGAAAAATAAAGTAATTCGTATTTCCTGATTTGTAAACTGTCTGCAAAGTGCCATTTTGTTTTGAAGTAAAGATGTGTTTCAGTGACTTTCATTTGAAATTAGTTGCATGATGGGATTATGTATGTCCCGTTTTGTAATTCTGGACAGCTTGGGTTTTTCTTTCCTTTAAAATCGCGTGCCTCAAAGAGTTATACGATTTTACTGATTTTAATTATCCTGTTTAATATCGGTTTAACACTTTCGTTTTTATTTGTAATTGTGTTTTAAGTAGCGTGTATATTCTTTTGGTTACTTCTTTTGGGGACGTACTTGTGGATAATTATTTATATTTTGTAGACGCTTGTCTACGAGCTAATAGTTGGCTGTGTGTCTTTACAGCGTGACTATATATGCTACTAACATTATTGCAGCCAAAATTTCTCTACCAATGTCACGCAATTTCCTCGAAGCTACGATCCACTTAATCACTCCAAACTGTGTACCAAATCCACTACGAAATTCCTTCTCGACACGATGAAATCTCCAAAAATACTTCAACCTTTCAGGAAAAATGGAAGAATAATATTGCCACATAAGATGAATGAAACGTTAATCAATTTCTCAAAACTTAGGAAGGCTGTCGTGATATCCGTTCTTTCTCCCACCGAAGAATTTCAATTCCGACCAGTGTTATGAGCTTCGAAACTTCCTCGTCGAACTTCATCGCGATATACCTAACTACGACGATAACTATGCCTACGACTTCTCCATTCCTGCACAATTCTCGCAAATTTGCCAGCTGGCAAACAAATTGCCGCCATAATTTATGCGGCTCTCGTACCTTCGTCCTTCTCGCCGCATACTTAATACTAGATCAACATTTATCATCCATTGTCCAGCGTTGAAAGTTGCACTTTATCGCGACTAACGATACACAGTTCGTCCTACGCCAGTTGTAAATTACTTGGGCCAATGTTTGCCCCGTTGTTTCGTTTCGTAAGTTTCGTGCGGCCATGTTTAGCCATCGCGTATATTTCCTCTCGGTTGTCTTCGCGATAATAAAATTGTGCATTTAACGGGGTCGGGAAGCACGCCAGTGTAATGATAGATCGTTGTAGATCCCTGCTATTAGCGTTCACGTTAAAACGCGTGTTTACTCTTCATTGCTGAGAAACGTATGGTTATTCGATGACATACCAGAACTTACGTAATGATATCATCGGGTATGTATGTAAGTGTATGCAAGATGATACGGTGTTTGATATTTCTCTTTATATATTATCCTCGGGATAATTTTAATAATCATTTCGTTATTTATCATATTGCATTTGGACCGTACAAATTATTCTTTCTTCTTTATTTTGTTTATAATTTGCATTAAGTAATTATTTTGTTATGCAGCTCGACGTGTTTGATTACCACAACTTTTCTCTGCTCAGAATTGTTATAAATCGTTCTAATTATATCTCACTGATAATTTTATTAATTATTTTATTGTGTATCGCATTGCGTCTGGTTGCTGTAATTTATTATTCATTCTGCTTCGTATAGATCGTTTATTCAGAAGAATCTACTATAGTTTCGTATTCTTCCTGTTATTTTAAACCAGGAATTCTGTTAATTGTTTACATGAATTATTAGTGACGCAAGAAAATAATTTAATCACTGTATCACTTATTTACTGCTGTTTAGATAGTTCTTAATGACAAATATTCGATATTGAACTGTTATAGGAAATAATTCGTACATAGCGAAATAATGTAATCTAATGTGATTTGTTATTAGTAGGGAATTGGGAAAAATTTATACAATTCTATCAGTTTCTAAAAATTTAGTTAGACAGAGACACTGGTAATAATAATTATTATCATTATAATTATTATATACCTATTATAACTGATTTTTTACTGGACCCCGAAGCCTTTGCTACAATATAGAAATCGATAAAGAATTTTATTAAAAATTCCGATGAATAAATTTAATAAATACTTATTAAATTCGAGAATTAATTTTATTTTAATCTCTTATTCTTCCATTTTTTTCTTTATAAATCTCATCGTTAAAATCATTAAATCTATATCAAAATTCCTCTTCAATTTTGATCCTATCAGATTAATATCTGACTAACCCATCCAGAATATGGGAAATAACATTCATCACGAACCCCAGCAAGAGATCATCGCCGTCCTAATTATATTTTAAATCGAAATACTTCATCAAATATCCACATCTTCAAACAAATGTAACGCGGTTTAACATTTCAGTTGCATTTACCATTTAATCCTTCGCCTCTCTTGCTGAGTCTCCACTAAAAATATCGCCAAGAACTTACCGAACAAATCCAGCTAATTACACTAATTACGCGGATTACATAACGAAATATCGAGTCGCGTTATCGTGTTTCGTGTTACACATGTGTATAATTTACAATCTAATTATTCCGTGTGTTTCGGATTATGTACGTTGCAGCGAACGCAGGAGTATCACCGATGAGTATGCAGAACCTGGTCACCCTGGCTGCCATGACTGGCGGAAACGGCAACCTTCAGGTGTCGCCAAACAGTGAGTAAAAACGAGAAACTTCCACCACGACACAAGCACATTATACGTAGAAACGCGGTAACGTTCGAAAATGAGGAAAATCCAATTATTTATTATTTCCATGTGCATTGTGCTCGTCCCTTAATAGCGTGAAACAAACAGGAATAGAACGCATGACTACTTGAAAGTGTCGTGCTTTCGCTGAAAATGAACGCTTGAAATACGTGACATCAGGTTTAAAAGAATAACAGCATGATGGAAAATCGCGAGAAAACGTGTCTTCTCGCGATTAGATTTTATTTGGTGGAATATTTGACACGCCATTCTCTAAGCGACGTTCATTAATCTGGTAGCTATTAATCGAACACCGCAAACTTCTTCGAATTGTTCATATACCTGTGTGTACATATACATTTATTTATTTATTTATTTATGTCTGTGATTTATGTACGAGACTCGTTGAGTGTACTTTGTAGAAAATTCCGAGTTGAAAGGAAGATTTGTTTTCTTTGTTTGTATTAATAAGTCTGGAATAGCTTCTGCTCAAATTTGCCGTTTTACGTTTTGTAACTCTCTCTTTTTGTGCATTTCGAACATTAATTCAACAAATTTTAAAAACGTTTTTTCGTTGTATATACTATTTCGTAAAATTTTATTCTAATGAATTGGAATAGTGTTCGGTTTTCTTTCCTTTTGTTTCGGTATTTGGGAATTTCTGTTTTGAAGAATTTAAACGATATTCGATTTCATTAATCATGGAATTTAATATGGTTATTTTTATATAATTATAATAGTTGGGAAGAATTTTATAAATTTATCAAATTTTTTTAATTTATATGTGACAGTGAGTAGTTAAGGTTCCTGTTATTGATTGGCTTAATGAAAACAGATATGGGGTTAATTTCGAGTGAAAAGTAATAAATAAAAATAGGAATAGATGTTCCATTTGTGGCTATTTAGAGAATTTTTATACTACTCATTACTGTATAATCGAAGGAAGATTAAATTCACAAACTATACCAAAGATAGTAAAAATATAAACGTGATTACTTTATTAAGAGTGCACGAAAAACATATAATATAGCAAACACCAAAACATTACAAGTCGAACAATGTTTTGAACATAATTACTTAAATCATTACATTATTCTCCATTTGCCTGTCGCACCATTTATGGCCACAAGAGTGCCATTTTTAGCCATCCTGACTTTCCTATTATGTCCACTATCCTTCGCCTCTCTTGCTGAGTCTCCACTAAAAATATCGCCAAGAACTTACCGAACAAATCCAGCTAATTACACTAATTACGCGGATTACATAACGAAATATCGAGTCGCGTTATCGTGTTTCGTGTTACACATGTGTATAATTTACAATCTAATTATTCCGTGTGTTTCGGATTATGTACGTTGCAGCGAACGCAGGAGTATCACCGATGAGTATGCAGAACCTGGTCACCCTGGCTGCCATGACTGGCGGAAACGGCAACCTTCAGGTGTCGCCAAACAGTGAGTAAAAACGAGAAACTTCCACCACGACACAAGCACATTATACGTAGAAACGCGGTAACGTTCGAAAATGAGGAAAATCCAATTATTTATTATTTCCATGTGCATTGTGCTCGTCCCTTAATAGCGTGAAACAAACAGGAATAGAACGCATGACTACTTGAAAGTGTCGTGCTTTCGCTGAAAATGAACGCTTGAAATACGTGACATCAGGTTTAAAAGAATAACAGCATGATGGAAAATCGCGAGAAAACGTGTCTTCTCGCGATTAGATTTTATTTGGTGGAATATTTGACACGCCATTCTCTAAGCGACGTTCATTAATCTGGTAGCTATTAATCGAACACCGCAAACTTCTTCGAATTGTTCATATACCTGTGTGTACATATACATTTATTTATTTATTTATTTATGTCTGTGATTTATGTACGAGACTCGTTGAGTGTACTTTGTAGAAAATTCCGAGTTGAAAGGAAGATTTGTTTTCTTTGTTTGTATTAATAAGTCTGGAATAGCTTCTGCTCAAATTTGCCGTTTTACGTTTTGTAACTCTCTCTTTTTGTGCATTTCGAACATTAATTCAACAAATTTTAAAAACGTTTTTTCGTTGTATATACTATTTCGTAAAATTTTATTCTAATGAATTGGAATAGTGTTCGGTTTTCTTTCCTTTTGTTTCGGTATTTGGGAATTTCTGTTTTGAAGAATTTAAACGATATTCGATTTCATTAATCATGGAATTTAATATGGTTATTTTTATATAATTATAATAGTTGGGAAGAATTTTATAAATTTATCAAATTTTTTTAATTTATATGTGACAGTGAGTAGTTAAGGTTCCTGTTATTGATTGGCTTAATGAAAACAGATATGGGGTTAATTTCGAGTGAAAAGTAATAAATAAAAATAGGAATAGATGTTCCATTTGTGGCTATTTAGAGAATTTTTATACTACTCATTACTGTATAATCGAAGGAAGATTAAATTCACAAACTATACCAAAGATAGTAAAAATATAAACGTGATTACTTTATTAAGAGTGCACGAAAAACATATAATATAGCAAACACCAAAACATTACAAGTCGAACAATGTTTTGAACATAATTACTTAAATCATTACATTATTCTCCATTTGCCTGTCGCACCATTTATGGCCACAAGAGTGCCATTTTTAGCCATCCTGACTTTCCTATTATGTCCACTGCCATAATCGGTAATACCAAAGTCTTACGATAAGACTCGAATCTTTCGATTAATCGCACATAGCTATTACTAAACAAGCTACACAAGGCATACAAAATAATATCGTCTTTCGTTATCTCTTTTCAATAATAACAAATTTATTTCTCCTGCTATCTTCATATCTCTTCCTAATAAACCTAACCCAAGAACACATAATATTTATTAACCCTTTGCACTCGAGAGGCGCTCTTCAGTCGGCATTTGATAAAATTTCGAAGCTGGATATTCATTAACTTGTCAAATTTTAGATAATGTAACGGTGTGCGAGGTATCGAAACCAAATAATTCTACGTCTTAATTATTATATGACTTCTTATTTATTGTTCAACAAAATATCGACAGCTTTATAGCAGAAAATCTTTGACACTCCTACTCTTCTTTGGCGAAAAAATCGTCGAGTGCAAAGGATTAATCCCTTTAGCAAGCCGAAAATAATAACCACAAATGGTACATCTATTCTAATCCAAAGATTATTAGATTTATCAGATTTATTAGATTTTATTTAAAATCGAAATAAAATCGAGGAAAATCGCAGAAGTCTTCTCAGACCCCTCGAACGACCGTCACTAAATAGTATAGAACGGAGTAATTAATTCACGGATTAATCGGTAAAAAAAAATACAGAAAAATCGACGCGATTTTATCCGCCTGTATCGTCACTTATATTTATACACCTTCCGTTTTTACCTCTCGTTAACCGCGATCGAGGTCGATCGCGACTCATGCACGCCGAGCAATCGCAGAGTAACGTTTCGAGCCTGACGATATCGCACGACGAATACCTTATATCGTACGGAGTGTATCGGCTAAGTAAATTTCGGCCAAGTTTACGTGCTGAATATGTAAACACGTTACTAACTCCGCTTGTTAATATCGTGAACGTGTTCTGTGTTTCAGCGTTAAGCGGACTGGCGAATTCTACAGCAGGTATGTCGCTATGTACGTGTCGCATTGCCTGGTATAGTATTAACAATTACTAAATTAATCTCGGCCGTTCGACGAATCTAACTTTCTCGTGTTACTCACGGCTCGATTCACACACATGGTTCGCTTGAAGAAATCGAGGTACGTTTGCGGACGGATGGGTCACGGGTACCGTGTCTTACATGGCGTTGCACGGTGGCACCGGTACTCCATGGACCTGTCCAATGATGGGTACGTCGGTGGCCATAAGTGTATGAAAACGATTTTGCTTCGTGTCACAATGCGGTATTGCACGTTTATCTTGTACATTTCGCGTGTACCATTTTGTTTCGTAGGTACTCCACCGTGATTCCATTTTTCCATACCGTTTTACCATAGTTCGTACGGGTAAATTTGTTTTCGGGCTTATCGGATATTTTGTTTTTGATACGTATTTTTTCGTATCAGACTGTTGGATTATAATTTTATTTTAAGTGTACTCTGGTTGTTTTATTTTACGCTTTAGTAATGATCGATTTTTATTCCTTTGTAGTCGGGGTGCCATTTTACGATGGTACGTTGATGTAATTTCGCTTTGGATTTATTCGATATTTTTATTACGACTGTTTTACTTTATGCCACGTTACTATTTTTTTTTTTATGAAATATTTTATAAAATATTTCACATTTTTTGATTTTCGTGAGAAGTATTTATGTTTTTATAATATTGCTTTGTTATTTATTTATATTTTATGTGGTACATTTTTATGTTCTCGTAAAAAAACAGTTTTTTTTATTATTTTTGTTTGATTCTTTAATTCTCATTTTATGGAAATATTATGATTGGATATTTTCTAGAATATTTTTCAAATTATCATTTTACCGTGTGTTACGTTGTGTTTGATGCATGTGATAGGTGTCGAGGGCTTTATTTTAAATTTCATTAATGACGCGATATTTATTTCTTTAAAATTAATCGAATTATGCAATGGTTCGCTAGTTAAATTAGGTGTAAATTAGGTTTATTGGAATTTGTTGACTAAAAATACTTATTTATTACTTGTTATGTTCTTTAGGTTATGAGATTAGAGTATTTTCTTCCAAGTGTTAGCCAAGTGACTCTGGCATTTTTGTTATGTAAGAAATCAACAAATTATTCGTACATTTTATAGTCCTTTGCAGCTGCCAAGAAAGCTATCTTTTTCTTTAATCTTGATTCCTTTTATTTATAATGTGTTACAGTTAGTAATAAATAAATGTATGCATAGTTTTCTTAGTGGAACCTAAGATTCTTAGAAATGATTATGTAGAATCACTATTCTAAAATTTATTTTTATTTTTTAATAATTTTATATTCATTCAAACAGTACTAGTAATTTATTTAAGTATTTAATTTTTTAACTAAACATTTCCTTCTTATATTATACTTTCTTATTTAAAATTAGTTTATATAAAATCTTCAAAGTGTAACAATTTCTAAAATTCGAAGGTAGTTTTCCAAAATCGCAGTATAATAATTTAAAACTCCTTTTTGAAATTTAAAAAGTATACTTCATAGATCGTTCCTTACAAATTTACAGAATAATCGAAACTTATTTAAATGAAAGTATTAATTCGTGATACCAGTATTAGAAATATTAGGAATGTTATTTTGCTTTCAAATCAGAATCTGAATTTGAATATTATTAAATTTCACGAGTATCTTCATTATTGTATTTAACAATTCTTGTAACTCGAAAGAATTTTCGTAACGTATAGATACGATCTTCAGAACTGCTGATATCTTCTAAAGATTAGAAATGTTTGTTTTAATCTTTTCAAAGAACTTTCCTACGTTTCCCTGGGATTGTATTTAACTTTATCGGGGCTCTAAGAAGACACTGATACTGAATATTACCTGGAAGCTTTAGACAGTATCCACTTTACGAGCTTGCAAGAGAAACCCCAAAAATCTTAATCGCCTTAAAAATTTCCTCTTCTATTTTCCCTCGACAGAATAATTTCGACAAAGTCTTCAAATAACTGAAATTATCGGAAGAATTTGAAATAGCGTTGCAGTGATTTCAATTATAATTTTCGCACAAAATAAATTCAGTAACTTTAAGAATAGGAGCTTCGGCATATTTAATTCAGATTATCTCGCTTCTTAAAAAATGATTGTATAATGAAATTCATCAAAAGTCAACAGCATCGTTAAATTTAAAAGTTAAATTTAATTATTGTATAATTTTAATTAAATTATATATTACATTGATTCATCGTTTTAATTTCATTTTATATTCTATAATTTGTATAAAATTAATAGTGTTGCCAAAAAATTCATTTCAATTAATATTCTCTGTCTTCCACCATAAGTGCCATTATTTCGAATTATACCTGTCACTTATGTCTCAATAATTCCACTTTATTATCAAACGCGAGAATCAAAATGAAATTCAAAGAAGGACGTAAATAAAAATAAAGGGTAAAAGGTATTTATTTTCTAATTGACTATAATCGTTTGCATACACATATGGCCAATGTGTGCACGCACGTAAACGTACCACGTTCCATCGTACTTACATACATATATCTCTACCCCATCGCATTTCGTCCCTTTTTTCTCAGAGCATTCTGACTTCGATATCGCCGGATCCCTCGCATTTGCTCGTAATGCACCAAATGCACCAGACGATTACATCGGTCGAAGGGCAGCAAAATGGTGGTCTCACTGAGACCGATGAGCATCGAATTGTCACGCATATATTCACGCATACTATTCTTGATAAGCAATTCCACTCGTCTCGTTATCCGCTATCTCTTTGTTTTATATTGTTTATATACTGTCGGTGTAAATGGAAATTCGAAGCGTATTTAACTCGATCGATCGATGGTATACTTACACGGAGTACTTGGAAGATTATGTGAACACAGATCGACCTGTTTATCCGAAAGTCAATCGATCGATAAATTTTCACGGGAATCGTGGAAGGATTAGTTGATCCATAATGTGGATTAACTGTATCGACTAATATCGGTGATATCAGCATTGGAAATAGCGTAACTGTTGATTGATAATTATATTTTCTCGCGAATTATTTGCATTCGTTTAGAAATCGCGCGGAAATTAATCAAAATTATTTCACAATTTAACAAAGATCAATCGAAATTGAAATTTCATAGATATCTATCCGAAATACTTCCTTTTTAAAGTGATAATTAAAATAATTCAGTAAATAAAATTACAGGAAGAGCAGTCGATCGAAATATTTCTTCAGAAATGACGCAAAAATCGGTCAAAGACTAAAATTTGCAATAGAAGTCTGTCAATGTAATTCAGATTAATTAGAAATAGTCCCGTTTGCGAATAAAAATTTCTAACTAGTCACGTGAAATCGCACAAAAATTTAGTTATATTTATTTATCTAAGCAGGATGGCATTAGTACAAGATAGTAACAAGCAAAATAAACAGGGAATTGGTAAATTATTAATCTTTTTATTGGAAATTCTAGCGAAATTCGATCATGTAATTCACTTGTCTGGAAAATGAAGTAAAAGTCGATCTTTTCACGACACCCGTGCACAATCGCGTACTTTAATTTTTTTTTTCCTTTTTTTTCTTCTTTTTTATGCGAACGCACGTCAGCGTTTTAATTTGCACATTTTGTTTCGTGCGTAGCTGTCCTTCTTGGAAAGTCCGGAAACACAGGTGAGAAGAGATCATTGAAACTGTATAACACGTCTTTACCGACTCGTTTATTAAAACCTCGTTTTTCCACGATTATTTTCCTTTCATTTTCATTTTCATTTTCATTTTCTTTCTCGTCATTTCGTCACATGGGTTCTTGTACAAAGTGCTTTTGAGCTACAAACAAAATAAGCAGGGAGTGGAAAACATGGAAAATATGAACACGCGTTTAATCTCTGTTTTATTTCCCATTTTTGTCAAAATCGCAAGGAAAAATGGAAATTGTAACGTTGGTCGTTATGAAATTGGATACGAAATATTTGAGTTTTAAAATATATTTTGGCAACAGGAAAAAGTATGGAGTTTAATATTTTTCGAAATGTAATGGGATATCGCGGTTTTATTTATAACGATTTTAATTATTTTGATACCTTTTATAACATACAAAATGAATCGCAGCGGAAGATAAAATTATAACAGAGTTCTGTAATTTTATTATTGGAAAATAACATTGTAACAACGGTCGGTAATTTTAACAGCAGCAAATAAAGTTGCAGCGGGGTTTCAGTAATTTTAATCACTGGAAATAAAATCGCAACAGATTTCACCAATTACGGTGTAATAGTTATAAACAAAATACCACTGGTGCAGTAATTTAGTAATAGTAGTGAGAAAAGAAACTTCGACAGAGTTTCATAATTTTAATAATAGAAAGTAAACTTGTAATAAATTTAGTAATTTCATTCTTAAGTAACTTTAATGGAAAACAAAATTGCAGTAGAATTTGGTAATCAAATTTCACTGAAATTTCGGAATAAATATTCTTAACTGGTAGTGTGCAAAATATTGTCAATAGTACTCGTAATTTTTATCATACGTGAATATAATATCTGATAATGTTTAATACTACCAAAATTTAAATGCGAGTATAAAGCCATGCTGTTCCTATATTACACAATATCCAATTTCTTAATTAAAACTTCACTGAAACCCCACTGAAACGGCTGGTTCATAGCTGGTTGCTCGTCAGTAGACGCTTAAAATCTTCATTTTTAAAGCTCCATTACAAAATAATAAAACGGGACCAAATACACAGGGTGTCTTACATCACGTAATATTATCAGCCAGAAAATAAATCTACGTATAAAAATCAGGCTAAAATGTAAAATAAAATTTTGTCTCTCAATGCTTAGTTTTTGAGAAAACCGATTTTTAAATTCTGGTCTCGTACACTCGATGAAAACATCAGAATTCTTTTAATTTATGATAATTTAATCGGGAATATAATTTCATAAAACACATATATCTACGGTAATTTATTATTCGATGAAATAAAAATATTGCAAATTAAATTAGCCTCTTTTATTTCGTGTATATTACCATGAACGAAATCGATTATCTCAGAAACTAAGTTCTTGACAAAAATATGTTATACTGCATTTTTGATTCATTTTCATCCGTAGAATCACCCCCTAGCCATTATGTAATGCAAAACACCCTGTATGTTCTTCACATAAAAATGTTCCGTAACCAATATTATAACATTAACTACTAAGGAATATTAATTTTCTTTTTATTCTATATTCATAGATACTTGATTTTATTTTTAATCTAGTAACACTCCCAGCTGTATTTAGGGTAATTCTGAAACATCTTGTACATGGCCATCACCCTTTTTCGTCCACATCTTCATTCTCTAATTAGATCTGTAATCACTGTTGGCTGTTTAATCGATGGTAACGAAGCTCACCCAATATTTGTCCAATATGTTTCAATTAAGCTTTAATTCGTGTGTGCTGTTTCGTAATATTCGATGATATCGTTCAGAGGTGTCACAACGGAATATAATAGTCCTTCGCGATGCTTGTGTTTGATAGTGTCCTATTTAGGTGAGCTTCGACTTACGCTTTTAGAAAATTCGAAGTAACAAGTTGGTCGATATGTACGATGATATTGGTGATGTTAGAAATGATGTTGCGTTTAACGATCGATGGTCATTAATTTGATAGTGCGTTCGGTCACTGAGAGAGTGTTACTCGTGAATCTTCTCTTTTAAATACAGCCTATCTGAAAATAAACACGGGACTTCGATTTGCTTCGAACGAAGTTACAATCTCAGCAACCGAACACGCAAATTACACCTTCACAAATTTACATCGATATTATTCTCTTCGCACCCGGTATATAATCTTGTATATAATCGCTTTTTGCAATTAACAGTATACGTATATACCTAGAAATTTGCACGTTGAAGAACTGTATTACACGAGGTACTCTCCGAGAACAACTTGCAAATAACTCCACAAAAACAGAGTGACTTTACACGAATAATTACATACGACTATGAACAGTGTTGTACAGAAATCGCTTCTAGTAGCTACCCAAGGCGCGTACACATGATTAACATGTAAAAAAAATAATACTCGTAACAATACCAGGAGCTATCTTTTTTTCTGTTCTTTTTATGTCAGTATCACAGCATGAAGCATGTCGAGCAGAGTATTATTTCTTCCAAAATGAAAAGAAAAAGAAAAAAAAAGAAAAGAAAAGAAATAGAAAAAGATATTAAAATAATGGGAATTAAATGATTGTTTTTACTCGACTTGGGCGTTGTTGTAGAAATTCGATTGAGTTTTAATTAACAAGTTAATGGAAAACTTGAATAATCGAATTGATTTCGATTTTGAAGGGTCCACTGGAGGTAGTCTCAGTCCTGTGACGTCCCTAGCTCTCAATTCCCTAACACCTCTAAACGGGTTGCAGGACTCCACTTACTCCACCTTACAACAGTATGCAGGTAAGCCGCCATTTTGGATACGTGCTTGTCTCTTTCTCTCTCTTTCTCCTCCTCTCTCTCTCTATCTCTCTCTCTGTTTCTCTCTCTTTCTCTGATCAGAATGTATTCTTGATATTAAATGGCAAAATAGTATTGTTTAACTTGCACTCATGGCTGGTAAAAAGTGTTGTTCTAACGAGTAACTGTGCGCCTTAAAGCTCTCATTGGAAAGACGACGGTGACCGTGGAAAAGAAAGAATTACATAGTGAGTAACTAAACACACGAAGTGGAATGCCTGAACTCTTAGTGATGTGCGATATGTAATGCGGGACTACGTTCTGTTTGTGATCGATTTGCACGTGATCGAGTGTCGAAATTTATGGTGGTGGCAATGTGCTTACGTGTAATTTCTCGGTTGAACTTTTCCACTTAGATTTCCATATTTTTGTTTCTATATAACTTTGAAGTAAGAATGATACTTAGGTATCGGGGAATTTATTATTTAATAGTAACTAAATATAAAAGAATAATAAATCTGTGGAGAATTCTGTATACATAGGTCAGTTGTATTTTATTTGTTGATATAAAATTGGAATTATTCAAGCAAAGTTAGGAAACGCTGATATTAGTTATTTTTAATAGTTTTTTTGAAAATTACAAGCTTCTTTGCAGCAAATTTATTTTATCATCAAATAGAGGAAAGTATTTCAAAAAAAGAATTCTTCAATGGTGAAATTTTACATTTGGCTTTGGGTTAATTGTCATTTATTATAGTCCTTTCCTACTGGAAAGTCTGGATATTTTAATATGGATATCTTAAATTAAAATTACATTTAGTAAAGGAATATTCTGTTTTTCATAAGTTTGCTTTTATATAATTGGATTATATCTGCAAGCAGTGAAATTTTATGTATTCAAGATTCAGTTCTTTCTTTCTCAATATGTATTTATTTTAATTAAATTTATATTAGCATCGGATAGTTTTAGTGTTGCTTCTTTTAAATTATATACAGACTCGTAGAAATAGTATCAATTACTGGTTTAAATTTATATATCATGAAATTTAAATTCACTAGAAATATATCTCTCGTATCTCACATGGGTTTCTGCACAGGTTAAATACGATTTGTAATCTGAAATAGGCCTTGTACGTAAGTACATGGCCGCCACTGTATATATATAAATCTCAACTCACAAGATACGCAGTTCGTTAAAAAGTAGAAAAAATAATAAAAGTGACTCGCATTCGCTATCTCAGATAATGTTGTCGATAAGATAACAAATTTGAAACGCAGATTTATTCTTTTATATTATTGAAAATACAAAAAGGTTGTTGACTGAAATTTTATTTTGACTAAAAATATATATCTGTTACAGAAAGTTAAATACATTTTTATTCGAATTAAATAATAATAATGTGTACTATTATAGGCATTAAAAAGTAACGGTATTTTACGAAAAGTGTTTACAAAAATTTTCAAAGTGCTTTTCGAAATACTACTTTTTGTAATTAAATATTAACCATAATCTAGTTTCCTACATTTTCTAACTCTGTGGAAAGTTTAAATTTTTCATTATAGCTCTCAGACACAGTGCAAGATAAAATTCAAAATTTTCTAAATCTGATTTCATTGATTTATAATTATGCACTGTGTTTTATTCCAGTTTTAGCAATTACTAGACCCAGTGTTTCACATGAAATTTAGAAATTGTAATAACCCACGATATAACTCTTCCTCCTCATAAACAAATAAAATTTCAATTATAGAAAATAAAATATTTTAATCTTTAATAACATCACTACATCGAAAGGAACAATTTTACGTTGAATTATCATCCATTTCGATTATTCCCCAAATATATTTCCTCCATTCAACAAACTTTTACCAATAATTACTGAGCCAGTTATTTCGTGTAATGTCTTCGATAATCCGATACAGCAAACAAGTCCATAAACAACCATTTTGTATATTTAAATAATCCAAAGCCACAGTCTGGCCAAAAATCTACCAATAATTCAAAGCAACGATCGGTAGCCAGCATATTGTATCTTTCATAATCGGGAAACCGTATAATCGAGTGAACATCCGCGGTCACTAGAATGGTTACTAGAATAGTCACTAGACTAATCACTAGAATGCGAATCTCGTGGGATGCAAATAAACGATACCGTAGCTCGATCATTGGTGGAATAAGGAAACGGTGATGACGAATTTTGTGTTTGCAGGGTTCCCCGCGTTCACGGCGGCGGCAGCAGCAGCTGCAGCAGCGGCCCAAAAGGCGAAGTTCACGAGCACGGACAAGCAGATAGAAGGTCCCGAGGGCTGCAATCTGTTTATCTACCATCTACCGCAGGAGTTTGGCGATACTGACCTGGTCACAACGTTTCTACCATTTGGGAACGTCATCTCGGCGAAGGTTTTCATCGATAAGCAGACACAACTGAGCAAATGCTTCGGTAAGCTGCCTGCTGTTTACTTTTTGCGAGTCTCTCGCACGAGTTTCTTATCGGGTTGAGATAGGTGATTTGATTATTTATTTGTATTAACCCCTTGAGCGTTAAGATTCATTTTCAACTCCTTTTCGAATAAATTGTATCATATAATAGTATTAATATATAATAAATATAACGGTATCTTTATAACATACCATAAACCGAACTAGGTATGTTACATAACCTGCAAGTCAATTAATTTGGCGAATCATTTTCAGGTCTAATACAGTAGAGAAATGAAGATATGTGGTATAAACATTGGAGTATAAAAGAAATTTAGGAATCTATGTATGCGTGTACATTATTCTTGTGAATTGACTCAAGGGGTTAAGTAGATTACTGGGCAATTTATGGAAATAGAGTATATGCGTTTATCATGGGACAGTTTGAATATTCTAGTTCGCATTTTGTTGTCGGGAAATGTTTTTAATTTGCTTTTTGTAGTTTGGGGTTTAACAACTGATATCTTAATAGAATATAATAATTCATTATATAAAATTAATTATTTTAGTTAATGATTCTTTATTAAAATTTATATTTACAATCAAATGCTTAAATACTAATTATACAGAGATATATATAGAGTACGTACCTAATGATGCATAGTTTACAAGTTTTAAATAGTACTTTATAGTAGAATTATATTGAATTTTATATTATTAGACTTAAGCCAATATTTTATATTGAATAATAGATATTATTCACTATTTAATAATGGTTACAGTAACACTTATACTGAAGGAACATTATTATAATTTGACACTAGAACTACGAATCTATAATGAGTAGCTAAATATATTGCTCACAAAGAATATAGAATCTATGTAGAAAGATAAGTAATTATGTACAATCACGTTTCTATTTGAACAAGGGTCAAACTTAATTTCGTCAGTAGTTCTAGCGTTAAAGAATTAAACCGCTATTATACTACTTCATTCGAATAGCAACACTAATACCTACACAATACGAACCCGCCACAGAATTCACATTTAAGTAATACTTTCCAAAACTATGACAAATAATTTACAGGCTTCGTGTCGTACGACAACGCGGCAAGCGCGCAAACAGCCATCCAGTCGATGAACGGCTTCCAGATCGGCACGAAACGGCTGAAGGTCCAACTGAAACGATCCAAGGACGCATCGAAACCCTATTAGCCGACGTCGTCCACCGTTCGTAGGTAGATACCAAGGACTTCTCGGATACCACGGCTCGGAATCAACGACCTTGGTGTCCTTAATCAATCCAAAAAAAAAAAAAAA